CTTAAAGAAAACCGGCATACAGCTTTATATTAAACATGATTTCTTTATCTTAAATATAAAAACATGAATGAAGTGGTCACAGATGGCCAGGGATAGCAGGGGATGGTTTTAAATGTTTGTTAAATTGCATCTGGAGAGAGAAGATGAGCATTTGTGAAACAATGGGCATTTATAATATAGGGTGAACACAAAATATCTGTTGTGACCCCAGTTAATAATTGCACCTGAGCTGCATCACAGTTTGACACAAAAGTTAGAAACTAAACACAAACTAAATCATCGCTGCTTCGACGCTCATGGTTAAGTAGCCAAGCTAAACTTGCTAATCAGTTTATGTGTTTGTGTGTCGCCTAGTCTGTTTGATGTTGTGGCTGATTGTAACGGCACAAAGTAGCAAGTGGGCGTGTCCTACCCCCCCCACTGTCCATGTTGATACAAAAAACGCAATTTTCTGAAATTCCAGGCTAGTAGTTACCGTTTAAGGAAAATGGTTTTATTTTGTCCCATTCTTACTGAATGATTAAATGTTTGACTGATCATTAGGAGGGCCTGTGCTGAACTGTCAGCATGGCACAGATGTAAACTGACTCATACGTATAATCAAACGTGTTTTTAACTGTTTTTAAGTTTAACTGTTCATGTGAAGGCGTACATTATTTTTAGCTGTGTGGTTGTGAAAGAAGGATGAGAATGTTTTGCATTAATTCAAAGTGACTTGACATTTCATGCTATGTTTTTAGCTGTATGAGATTTAAAGGTCACATATTCTCCTCCTCTTCAACCAGTGTAAATAAGTCTCAGAGCTCCTCAAAACATGTCTGTGAAGTTTCTTGTTCTAAATCCACTCTGATCCTGTATTTGATCATGCCTATAAACCCCTCTATTTCAGCCCTGCTCAGAACAGGTTGTTTCTGTGTCTGTACCTTTAAATGTAAATGAGCTGTGTCTGACCACGCCCCCTCTCTGGAAGGGTTTGGGTGTCTTGGTCTTTCTCACTCCATGTCCTATTGTTTACTGTGAGAAGGCAGACTCAGAGGGCAGAACAAACACCTAGCAGTGGAGTGTCACCCACCTGGGGAGGGGCTACTGCTCTTTGTGATGTCATGAAGGTTGGTCATGTTGGTCAAAGCTTGCAGTTCACAATGAACAGTGATTTTTTTTTAATCGGGTCAGGTCGCGTGTGATGATGGCGGCTGCATTTGTCGTAATGACAGGGTGTGCGTCAGCATTCAACCTGGTAAATAAGTCGCTCAGGTGTATAAGACACAGCGCTTTCCGGTGAGAAAAAATGTATAAAAAGTGTGTATCATACACCGGAATTTATGTTAATTATTGCTTCTTTTCGTATCTAGATTTACTCCTGTTTTTGTTTCTTTATAGTGTGACAGCTTAAATACAAAAAAACAGGGGATCATATTTCACTGGAACAGAAACGTTATTTCTGCCATCACATGATTAATTCATGTGTTTGCTGTATTGGATGAACAAGCTGCTTGTTGATATTATAAAAATCGGACTTACAATTTGGCTTCTCTTTCTGATCATTCCATTTATTTTAATTTGGACGACGGTTCAGACAGATGCCTCCTCCTATGGAAAACTTCTTTGTTGATTTATGAATTTTCATTAAAAGGTCTGAAGCAGGAGGTCAACTTGTCTCGTTGCGTTAGCCTCAGCAGCTAAACATTGGAGGTGACACCTCGCGGCTGAAGGAGGCGTCAAAAGGTAACAAGCCCTCAGAAAGTACTGACACATGCATAAACATGAAGCACGCCGTGAGATAAGAAAACACGCTGTAAGGTGCCAAAGAGAGGATGTAACTGAAGAGTAATGAGAGTGAAAGCAGGGGTGTTCTTCAGATGCAGGAGCTGATGGATAGATACCGTATCAGACAGTCATAACGGTTGTTTGGGGCGATATCGTTCTGTAGATTGATCTGAATCAGTCCTTCCACCTTCACAATACTCCTCAGAACGATCCTGATATCGGTCATATACCTCGGCACGATGAAGCTGCCCCTTCTCACCGAGGCTAACATTCTCATAGTTCCTCTGCTTTCCTCTATAAAGGCGAAATATGATTCCATTTGCTGCTACAACAGTCTACATGGCTTTTAAATCACTGAGCCGATTTATTGAGGCTTGTAGTGTTGGGAGATCGAAGCCTCATAACTCCTGACAAACGCTTTTACACCCCCCGTCTCCTCCTCACCTCGCCCCTTTTTCTCTCTTCATTTTATTGTTAACACACGACTCCGGCAGCTTGGCACACACACACACACACACACACACACACACACACACACACACACACACACACACACACACACACACACACACACACACACACACACACACACACACACACACACACACACACACACACACACACACACACACACACACACACACACACACTCTGATTCATTCTAACGACAAGCTTTTGACACACAACAGGAAAAAAGGTTTTCACTTCCACAGCCGCCTGTCAGAGTCAATAGCAGCCGAGCAGAAGAACGTGAATCACAGGTGTTGATGATAATTGAGGGCTTTGTGATGGATTTCGAGGGACAGTTCAGCTGAAGTGTATTTTTTTTACATTTTAGGTACTTGGCTCATTGCACAATCCCTCTGCGCCCGGTTTCTAACAATGGGGTTTTGATTTAAGTGGTTTCAGGGAGTCCCTAAACAAATATGACATAAGCCTCAATCAAGGGGGAGGCGGTAAATTATACAGCATTTCAACTCCTTTTAAATATGGTCTAAAACAAAGAGTCTCCACGTTACAGATAAAAGGATGAACAAGACGTGTGGAAGGTCAGACATGAGAAATATCTTAACCTTAGATCATGTCAATCAAATATAAACCCATGCATATCAAACACAGATCTATTATTAAGCTTACAGATGCTCGAGAACTTGCCTGGAAATCATCAAAATGAAAATTCAGCTTCAGTCTCAAGTGTCTGTTGTCCACACACCGACAGGTAGACTGAAAGCAGCCGCTGCTTATAACTCTGTCTGCGTGTTTGTTGTGCTTCTTGTAAAACTGAATGAAGACTGATATAGGCTAAAAGAAGAAGAGGGGTTCAAACTCATTCACAGCTTCAGGTTTTGGGACGACATGTTCCATTGCAGCAGGTGGAAACAGGGAAGAGAACTACAGAAAGTTTGGAGGTGTTTTCAAAACTCTCTTTTAAGCCAGGTGTATGTGTGTGTTTGGGTACTAATAGCAGCCCGACTGACCTGTGAAACCATCGGTTATATCTAGATCACAAAGCTCAGAGGGCGGTATGTGGGCGTGGGAAGTCGAAGTGGCTCAATACCTAATTTTCCCCACCGGAGCCCTCCAACAGGTTAATCTGGCCGTGTGACTTTCTTTGATCTCGATGCAACACAGGTAGACATCGTCAGAGAGGAGGCAATGTTTTGTTCTCATAACTTCTAACTTTGGAGCGTGTATAAGAAAAGAAAGAGCCTTTAACCTGTATCCCTAGTGGCCATCAGGCGGCGTCTTAATGGGTCGCATAAAGTGTTCTGAATATATAGAAGTCTGCTCAGTTTATGGTCTCAATCTCTAATTTCAAGTCCTTGGACCCTCTCCCTGCTCTGTTGCCTAACTGTAAACCATATTATATTCATCAATGGACTTTGAAATAAGTTGCCTACAAACATCCCTGATAACAAGCGATGCTAAAACGTCTTCTGCAATTCATATTGGGCTGCCAGAGAAAATATGAAAGGAGGAAGAAATTTTGTTGTTTTTTAACAATGTACTACATACTATTTTAAAACAACAGCATGCTCATTACTCTCCAATAAAAGCAGGCACGTACCGAGTGATTTTATCAATCTTATATGTTTATCACAGCCTCTCAGGTCTAAAATGTTGATACGACCTGCAAAAATGAGGTATATGTGAATCGTAGGATGCAAGGAAGTTCAAGACACAGCTTCATCACTGTGCATCAACCTGATCGAGCTGAGGTTGCCATGGCGGTCAGCAGAAAGCGAGGTCTTGCCATTGTGCCGTGCATGTGCTCCAAAAAAAACAAAGAGGAGGGACAGAAAGATGTGGACATGGTCGTGGGGTGGGAAAAGAGGCCAACCAGGGATGCCAGTGTTTCAAAGAGATCTCTGGCGCCCGTGTGGTCGCGCTGATTAGTGCCTCGTTTAGTTCTGCATTTCTATTGGTTGGTTAGTTGACTTAGAGCGTGGAAGCATTCACATTTCTGAGATGATCGTCCTAAATTTATGACACTGTCAGATATTTGTCGCAGGCTATCTTTGGTTGTAAGACAGTGAGATCGGTCATCTTTGATACTCTCTCACAGAGCGATATAGGACCCTCTTTTGGAGCCACGACCACAGATATGACCACAATTCATCATCTCTCGTTTGGGACAGCCCAGAATCCTACTGTCAGTGTACCTGACATTAAGTGTAAGCAGGCTAAGAGCTGAGATTTCTCTGTTAGATGATAGTTACAATTTTTTCTCCCCTTAACTGTCAAAATGAGACACGTGGGCAGGGGTGTTAAATAAAAACTTAGGTTCATATATTTAATGTCAGAACTTTTGCATGTAGAGTAGGTCGATGCTTTTGTGAAACATTTGAATTACATTTCTCTCAGTTGCATAAATTCTTTTGGACGTGATCCCCTCTTAGAGCTCCCCTGCATAGATCTCAGTTTTCTCACCTTGAGTCCCAGGTTGAGCTCGCGGAGGGAGCGTCTGATCTCCTGAGTCAGCAGGTTCATGCGCTCACACTCCTGCAGCGCCACCACCTGGTAGGGAGTCCTCTCCTCCGCCTTCCCCAGCAGCTCGGCCATGTTGAACTCCTCCGGGAGCTTCTCCATGATCTCCTCCAGCACGGCACGCACCTGACGAAGGAGCATGTCAGAGAATGAGTGAGGGACTGGCAGTAAAAAGTCATGTCTGAACTATTTTTTACTTTTATGATTTAAGACATAAAGACAAGAAATAAGAGAGATGATACTGGTTGAAGTAAAAGACTGGATTGGTCTTATCTGTGTCGGATAAACTCAGTGCTGCCGATGCTCACACGTCTGAGAAACTGTTATTGTTTGAAAAGAAGGTCCCATAAATATTCATGAAAATATATTTTGCAAGGCAGCTCTTTGTTTTCAATAACAGTCTAATCCCTCCAGAAAATCAATGCTCACATCATATTTTTGTGGGTAAGTGATGAAGGCTAACGCTCGTGTCAACATTTTCCCAAGGCAGGCAGTGTTGGCGATCAATCAGAGGATTAGGTGCCGAACAAAGGATATGAGGTCATCATATCTATGGATTTTTCAGTTCAAATATCTGATCTGTGTTTGGCAGCTAAAGAGCACGCTGAATACAAAGTGAGTCTGGTTAGCAGCTCTGCACGGCTGTCATCTGTTCAGACGGGAGGATCTAGGAATCTCAGCGATAAAGGTCACACATTATTATACCTCAAGCATGCATGCACAATCGACGTGCAACTTGTTAGATGGATTATTTGTTCCAGCTAAACTAGACTTTGAATCTGAATTATTTCAGGCAAAAATGAAGTTTCATACTTTATAGAAGAAGTTAAGATAAATTAATCGTTCATAACTGGAAAATAATAAAAGAGATCTTTGTGTGATATAGAAATGCAGCCTCTCCCCGCAACAAACGCATCGGCAGACGGCCAAGATAAATTTGTCACTAAGCAACTAAATTCAGAATTCATAAATCAGTTCAAGCCGTCTTTAATGGCGAGTGGTTTTATAATCGCACTCACACACACATTACAAAACAGTGGCACAAGTTTTAATTTTACTCCATTCTGCCCAACTCTGCTCTTTTTTAAAACCACAACACAGAGACACTTTCCCCAAATGCATTCAACTGGAGTCACATCAGCGCAGCCTACAAAATGCAACCAGATTGTAAAGCATCAATACAAAGCATTTTGCTATACAAATGTACTTACTATTAACTTCCTACCTCTTCATTTCGTCTCACTTTGGCGGGCCTTAAAATGCCCAGGAACAAGCGTCCCTCGAGCATGATTACCAAAATAAGCTCTTTATGACGACACCAGCAGTGTGCACAGACTCAGCGTGACCACCCACCCAGGACAATACATCTGTCTTGATTAGAATTACGGTAATCAAACAGCCGATCACACAGCCGAAATAAATGTGACGACAGCCAAACGTTTTTCCAGTTTATAAAATATATGAACATATCCAGCAACTTTAACTGTTGCATGCCACATCATGCTCACTTTTTGTTAATTATCGTACATCTCATAATTAGTACAGGATTTTAGTTGTTGGATGTCTGAAGGTTAAACGTACTTGGAGGAAATTCTGTTTGCCTGGATTTTAGGTAATTTTCATGACGTCTTATCTCTTTAAATTCTTGTCCTGTACATTTATAATCAGACGGAAAATCTCCTCCTGCTGTCTTCCTGCAGTCAATTTAATCATTAATGTGTGTCTGTGTCCACACATCAGAGAACAAAGCAGAGAACATGACTGAAAATGTACCGACTTTGTGTCTTATTTTGAGTCATGTTAGATACAGACAGAACACTCTGGGATGTCCACGTTGTGTGTCGGCGTGCTTGTGCATGAACTGTACCGTTTCAAAGCACACCTCTTCCAAGCGTGCCAGGGCCGAGGAAGTGTACCACTGTTGACCACTCACATTAGTCAAACAAACTGGACTCTGAGGGTGAAGCGTGCTTAGGGACGGTTCAGTGGTTCCCAAAGTGGGGGTCAGAACCCATTGGGGGGGGTCGTGAGATTCCTTCCAAAAACATATAAAAACATTTAAATAGCATATCTACCAATATTGTGAAAATACAAACAAAAAAATAGTTCAAGAGATTATGCGTGTTCTGCTTTTTTTTTTTCTTTTTTTTTTGGGATGTTGTGTTCTTTTGTGATGTTTGCATGCCACCATTTGGATAGGCCTCATAGCGTGCCCAGCTGTGACATTAAACATTTAACATTAAATGTTTTCACCACCTCCAGAGACAATGGGGGTCTCCAGTTGTTAGAACCGTTATTTTGGAGCTTTGGAAAACCCTGGCCTAGTGTGAGTGCGCCCTCAGTGTGACCTGTTGCTTTAAGTTAGAATCGTCTTTTGCACTAAAGAAAAATATTCTTGAAGTTAGGCCATTATTAAAAAAATAGATTTTACACGAGTAATCAGGGTGAAGGTAAAAGTATAAAAGTCGTAACAAACCAACATTTTGTTGCCTGTTGTGAGTAATATAACCACAAAGCTAACACTCAAAGAGCCAGGACCTTTTTTATGAGATTAAGAAAGTGTCACCAACTCCATTGAAGGATTCTGCAGAGCTGCACTCTCTCTCACAGAATATTTGTTTGAGCTTTTACACTCACTTAAGCTTCATTTCAGAGCAGTACTGAACCAGAAAATGCACCAGAAAATGCCATCGCTGTAAAAATCACCCAGGGTGCTGTCACAGGCCCCGAACAGTTGGCCCGCAATTTATTTTCACTTGAGTGTGCAGCGGCGACAGAAATGTCACCTGTTGTCATCACACATTTAAGATTTGTTCCTCGAGCCCCGGAGTTCAGCGAGAGAGTCTCGACTGTGTGGAAGGTTTCGGTTTACAGATGTGCTCGGAGTATCTCCATGTATGAAGGCTTGACTTTTCAACACTGAAAATCCCATTCGAATCATAGCTCGAGAACAAATGCTGCCGTGCTACTCCTGTAATCCTCACTGAACTGATACGGAGTCTGCCATGAGGAGTCCATGCAGCCACACACCGCTCACACCCACAACATTTCATTCTAAGAGATAAACTTTCCTAAGGTAGCCAACACTTCAAACTCTACTCAGAGGGCAGGCGAATAAATCGATGCAAAAGAAAATTGGACATGGTTCGAGTTGAGGGAATGGGAAAACAGTAAATACAAAGTTCTGGGTTTGAATAATGCACTGAGACATTTGAGTTTGTTTGTGGTAAATACAAATTCTACAGACAATATTTAAATACTCAGATAAAGTGAATATCATTTACCACAAAGCTGCACCGGTATATAAGATGAAGTTTGTTTTTTGGAGGTTTCCCGGAGATAAAAAGTTTAAACTGTCTTTCTTTTTTCGTTCCGTCTGTTTTCACTTTGTGGAGTTTGCTCTCCTACTAGCTACAGTACGGTAGTTGAGCTCTCAGCCTGCAGTGAAAGTTGTGACGTAAAGACCTAATGAGGTAGAAAAGATGTTAAAAAGTCGCACAGCCAGCGACACACAATGACCAGGAATGCATTTTTAATCACGTCAGGTAGCGTGCAGTGTGTGATGGTGGTGGCTGCACTCGTGTCATCATTTTTATTTTGGTATATTGGTCACACCAATGTATGAGACGCTGCTCACTTTTGGATTAAAAAATAGGTTTTAAAAGTGCTTCTTATACACTGAGTTTTACGGTAATACACTTCAATCATTACTTTAATTGTCACAGAAAAAAATGACATATTTAAGGACCATGCAATGGGAAGAAGATGGTTAGATGGTTAGAGAAAGTTTTAAAATGGTCTGGCAGAATGTAGTTGAAATAAAGAGAAATATGTTAGTATCAAAGGTCAGTAATAAAGTAAAAATGTTGACGATTAACTTAAAAAGTTGTTGAGAAGGAAAAAAGGGAGAAAATAAATGTAAAAAAAAACTTTAAATGTAATAATGCAGAGCGTTATCTTTAAGACACTTTAAAGTCCAGAGAGGCAGACAAATCTAAATCCAATGAATAATAATGATGGAGCAGCAGCAGACAACACGATGTGTCATCAAGGATTCCCAAAAGGTTCTGCATTTTGTCTGTACTCATAAGATGAAAAATCAACATTTGTTTTTGTCCCGGTGAAAAAAAAAGCATCTCAAACATGTTTCAGATAACAGACCAGTGTGAAAACTATTTTTTTTAAAAAGTAGATTAAATCTTCATAATTCTAAGAATGACTTTACTGAAATGAATCCAAGCCTTTTCTCTTTTCAGCTGATGATCATTCATTGACACCAACAGTGTATTATTTATAAGTTCAGCATCAGAAAAATATCGATAACTGTTCTTAATGATCGTTTTCAGATTCTAAAATCTTCTCAAATATGAGGATTTCTGTTTTTTCTGTTGTACATGACGATGACCTTCAAATCTTTCTGTTGGAAATTACGGCTCTGCGTTCTCTACATGATTCTATAAAATCTGTGGCATAATATCAGCTCACACTGTACGACTGAATCGCTCACGACCAAAGCTCAAGATTGATGTGCTCACACTGATTGTCGAGCACGATCTGAGAAATCACACTGTACGAGTTTAATCAGGACGGAGCATTCCCAAGTGTTCCTAGAAAACTCCCACAGGTGGAGGTTGTCTCCTGCGCAGCTCAAATACACCAGCTGCAAAAATGCTCTCTCTCGCTCTCTCACACTCAGCATCAGCGATAAACTCAAGCTAACTAACAGCTAAATCAGAACAAATACTCCCTAACAGCTCGATGACAGAAAATCATCGGACCAGTCGGGAGCAGCACACCGAGCTGCCATCAGCTGTCGTGCATCAGTGAACGCTGCACGACTAATGGCGGGTTATCGAGCTGAAATTCAAAGTTAGTCATACAACTCAAAAATCTGTTCTTCATCGGCCTGAGTTTGTTCAGTCGGCTTAGGTTCACTTTCGGACTTTCGATTTAGTCATGAATTTCTACCCAACAATACGGTTGGTCCATAATGAGTAGTTCTCCCATTTTGGTGTAGAAGAGTTTGATTGGTTTGTGCAAAACACTGCGTGCTTGTGCCGCGCTGCTTCCTCTGGCCGTGTGAAGGCTCTGACCTGTGAACGTACATGCCAAAAAATAAAGACTTTTTGCAGTCGTCACATGCTGCTCCCTCAAGTCTGTGTAAAGCCGGGATAATTTGTCTTATCTTACCTTTTCCTCTCGTGTTGTCCCTCCTCCCTCGCCGACGCCCCCGTCTCTGGGCTGCATCTCCAGCACGGTGCGGAAAAGCTTCTCAGAGGTTTGTGTCAGGAAGCCGATCTCAGCGTTGGGGTGAAGGCCGTACAGGTAGGGCGACTCAGCAGGTAGGGTGTCATCAATGTACTGGAGCAGAATAAATTCATTTTAGGGTCCAATTGTATTTTTTCTTTACGTACTGCTACGGGTAAAAAAACAAAAACTATCATATCTTGTTTTATTGCCACGCAGATGACACCCTCATGTACCTGTCGTTGCATAGTTTGGATCCTTATAAGGTTGAAGTAAACAAAAGCATATTAGGATCATAATTCATGTACAACAACTTCCTTACTTTCTATCTATAGGCAGTAATTAGGAGGGCAAACTTTCAGTTAATGGCTGATTAGCTATAAGCCGTTTTCAGACTGATTTTTTCCCCCAAAAAATGCTGTAACTCCACTCAGCGGTCTTCACCTCTTTGAACATTCTTATTGAATCTGCGACGGTGTAATATTGGTGTCCCAGTCTGTGAATTTGTGAAAGCACAGAGCTCCACATACACACACAGTCAGACATGCACACACACACACAGCGCTGTTCTCCAACTGCTGGCTTCGCTGAAATCGCCTCTCCTCTGTAACGCCTCTGTGACAGAGGGGGGATTGCTTCGTCCCTCCTTTATGCCTCCACAACATTCAGATTGAAGCTAAAACGTCACAGAGGCGTGAATATCACAGCTTGAAACGGCAGTCTGAACAGAGCTATAGATTAAAGTCATGTAGAATAGGGTACTAGCCAGTATGATACTTATGAGCATGCCTATTAGCAACAAGTTAATGGTGAATATTAGTAAATGGTAAATGGACTTGAGCTTGAATATTTATTTTCTAGTCTTCTGACTACTCAAAGCGCTTTTACACCACAGGTCACACCTACACATTCACACACTGATGGTAGAGGCTGCTGAGTAAAGTAAAGAAGTAACTAATCCCGGGGCGCTGGTGGCGCAGTGGTTAGAGCGCACTCCATGTATGGAGGCTGTAGTCCTCCAAGTGGGCGGCCCGGGAACGGAGCCGACCTGTGGCTCCTTTCCCGCATGTCATTCCCGACTCTCTCTCTTTCTCCCTGATTTCCAACTCTATCCACTGTCCTATCTCTCCAAAAAAGGCACAAAATGCCCAAAAATAAATCTTAAAAAAAGAATAAGTAACTCATCCCATTCATACATTGCCGACATAGCAGCAGGAGCAACTTGGGGTTAAGGACACAAGGACACATAAGACGTGGCTGCAGGAGCTGGGGATCGGACCCCCAACCTTCTGGTTGAAACATGACCGACTCTACCAACTGAGCCACAGCCTCCCTTGATATTATGGCCTTAATTTAATGTGTTACCAAAAGGTGTTCTTGGGTTAATTAATGTTTGATACATAAAAATATTATTTTATAAAGTAGAGTAAAAGTTTTAATCGAAAAAGGTAAACAGTATTTTTAATTTTTTTTAAATCCCCTATAAAACCTAGTACAGTTTGTCGTCTGGGTCGGACTGTCACAGAACCAAAAACATTGCTACATTTTATTTGAGTCATATCATTTAGTTTACAGCTCAATAAAAACTGTGTGCTCTTCAAACACACACTGTTGACCTGAAAAGACCAATATTTCAGCACTAACCCCGACTTCCCCTCAGATTCTGTTTTATTTATAGACCAAAGATTGGCATCTCCCATTACTTCCTGACAGAAAAGTACCAAAGTCATGTTCCCTCTCAGGTTTCTTCTAAAGGACTGCTGACAAAGGACAAGAATGGAGGCATATGAATGATGAGATATTTCTGGAGGAGATTCAAACATGCAGGATCAATTGACAGACTGTTAATGACCATAACAAGGGGAAGGAAATGTGGCGTTATCCATCTGCTGCTCCATAATGAATATCAATATGCTTTTTAAGTTGGTGCAGATGAAAGTGGAGCCCATCTGAGAAAGGCGTCTTTCAGTGGGGCACCTAGA